ATTTACCCCGACCCCTCTCTTTCGATCGGCTGATCCGACTCGGGCCCCTAATCTGGATCCCCTCATTCTCTCGTAGATCCGTTCCTTATCTTACTGGCTGACCGATTTCACTCGGTTCCAGTCTCGGTGTGCAGTTTACCCCACGCGCTATTTCTCAAGGTCCTAGAAGCACGTACACTGCCGCTTCACTGAGCAGAGCGCCTTAGCACTGATTCCTATGCTTGCAGATATCAGGCCTCCCCTTCACGGGCCCTCTCCTTGATCAAACCCATGTTATCTGAGAAAACTTGTCCGTTTTACGAGTTCGTAGCTTGATCCGACGAATGGCAAAGCTCACTGATGCCGAATACGATGCCGGCGGAACGGTTGCGAATGTACCAAATTCACTGTCTGATGCTTTGAATCATGAAAACTACTATGGCAGACGATTTCGGACTAGGTGTGTTCTACTAAGTCGCCCTGACAACAATACCAAGTTGAGACGAGGTCAACCCACTTCTCTTCAATTTTGTTCATGTACATGTTGCCAAAAGTGGTGAGAGCGGCGATCCCATGGGAAGTCCAAATATTTGTTCATAGACGTTCCCATTGAATGTAAAATACGTTGTCTTTATTGTCAAGCTGACTAGTCTTATTAAGACCTCCCTCCTGATCTGTTGTGATTCCAGGATATCCTCCTCTCGGTCCAGGATTTCCAGTAGGGCCGTTAGCGCATTTGCTCCAGAGATATTTGTATACATCTATTCAACATCGAAACTTACCAATAAGTCAGTTTCTTGAAGTTTCATGTTTTTTATTTTTTGAGAAAATTCATATGATTGTTTCACCGTGTTTGATAGTTACTCATTTAATTTCTTGAGTTTCAAACATATAAACTTTGCTAATTTGTGTTGCTCCATACTTGTTGTTGACTATCAGCCTTAGTGGCTCGCCTTCTGTATGTATTTTTGGTAATCTGTATGCTGCTGGTGGTCGTCCATCCCTTCTTATGATTGAATTTCTTGTCCATGTGTCAATTTCATCATTCTTATGCATCTTTCAGCATGGCATTTAAGGTTCCATTGATCTTCATAGTTGGGTCCTTGTTTAGTATACAATATGTGGTCCTGTCTCGTAGAATATGTTCCATTCATTGAATTTCCCCTAGCCCTGAGTGTCGAGGTTCGACTCCCGCTGAGGGTGTTGATAAGACCGATGCGAGGTCGAAATTGCAGTCCACCCTGGATGAGAACAACTTTTGGGAAAGCAAAGCTATGTGAAAATTCAATGGAAACGTCAGCTCTACTCATATCATTGTGGGAAAATTCTTCTTCTACCAGTCCTTCATCATCTTAAACGAAATTGGGTAAATACATATTATATTACTGATTTACTGGTAGTCACGAAAATAATACTTAATTCGAAAAATAAGTAATTTATGAGAAGAAAAGTAGGTTTTCGAGGGATCTCTTGTTTCATAATTGTTGAGCATATTTCTATTTCGAGTGAAATTGTTTGCTTAAGAGCTTACAAGTTTGGTCCCACCAGAAGTCGATGGTGGATTCCTCTTGGCAAGATGTCGATTGGCTTTACTGAAACATTTTTGTTGATGCTACTTCTGAGAAAATCTACTTCGATTATAGTGAAAGCGCGCCGAGCTTTTGTCCTTCATATGACCAAGGCGCTTTTGGGCTTCATCGTCGACCACACCGAGCGCATTATGCTGTAGCAACCCGGCCTGGATAATGGGTCAACTTTCTCTACAAGTGGGCACAACTGATGACTGTCGCAGTTTCAATAAAAACCGTTTGTATACCCCACTTCGCTACTAGTTCGGGACGTTTAATCGCAATAAGTAAATTAATCGATTGCTATAGCAAATAAAGCTTCATCGACTATCCTAACACAATTCATGTCTGCCCTGTGACCCAAGGGGACTCACGGCAATGTGACATAGTGGGTAACGCGTCAGGCTTATGCGCTGCATTATCGTTGTCTGAGTAAAAATGTGTTAATAAGACCTAGGCGAGGTCGATATAGCAGTTCACCCTGGATGAGAATATCATTTTGGAAAGCAAAGCCATGTGAAATGCAATAGAAACTAAAGGTCTGCTCTTATCAGTGGGAAAATTCAACCACCAGTACTGAAGACATGTAAAATTCAGGTAGATAGATCATCAATTTCCAAAAGCCTGGTTGGTATTTACCCAGTCCTGCATTTTTAAAAAAGAACACAGTATCAGGAGCGTCTTTCCGCTTGAGAATGGGGAATTCCAGATTGATTTATTGGAGAATTAAGATATCTATGCCTCATAATTCTGTCGAAGTAGTGCTTTACATCCGCGTTCAATTGCACGGCAGAGTTGAGATTTATTCAAGCCCCTTAGTAGATTTTCGAAAAAGGGACACTTTCATATAAGTTAAATACTTTTCACAATAAGCTTTGAAAGACGTAGATGCCAACTGTAATATGGTAGGGATTTACCAGTTCTCAAAATTTAACACGAGTATCATAGCAGCTAATGGCAGGACCAATTTTATGTTTAGATACCAATGGCATTTTTCCTAGTGGACAATTTATTTTAGTCCCCAATGTATAAGTATGAATCAAATATATTTGGCCAGGAATGAAAGATTGAAGTTTTGGTGAATGAAAGCACAGATCCAACAATGGCATAAAGGATAGATACTTAAGAATTAATATTTGCAACGATAACGAATCTAGACAACCATCCGACCAGAGCAGCCCAACCTGAAGTAGTGATTAACTGAAAATTTGGTCGTTTTAAAAATGAGCCAAGCGCGATACATAATGCAAGTAATGGGAGCAATTGATAAGACGATTCGCTTGTGACTACATATGCTACCATCAATACAAACGACCCAAAGCAATTGTAAGAAAATCTACATAAGCAGGTAAACAAAGAACATCAATTAAGCAGTTTCCTAGAGGTACCTCGAGATCATTTTGAAGACCATAATTTCTATTAGACTAGAAACCAGCGTTCTCACACAACATCCAGATGCTTAGACCGGATAAGCACTTAAACTATCAACCATATAGCCGTAGATAAACTTGCAAAAATGCAGGCCCCAAATTAAAAGGCTGAAATAAAAATAGCCTTAAAACCAAGAATAGCAAAATTATCGGACGTAAATGTGCTTGGAGGAATGATTTTAATCTATATTGCCAATTTTCAGCCTAAAAACTAAGGGCGCCAAGGAAAATAAACGTACTGGAAACTCAGATAGCTTATGCAAAAACGGCTGGATAAATTTTAACAAGATCTTTACGGCTGGCCCATAAAAGCATAGAGATCAGAGACAGACAAAAGTATGCAAATCGAGACGTTTTCTCAAAACTAGCATAGCTTGGATGAATTCGATCTGAGGTAGCTTGATCGACTTACATATTGTGGACACATAATCAGTCAATAATCTGCATCAATAGAAAACGCAAATTTTTGCCTGGCTGAATCAGAAAATAGGCCAATGCAAGATAAGTCTATATGCACGTGTTCAGATGCAAAATATCCGTTTACTTTGACAAAGAAAAAGGAGTGGAAAGGAATAGACAAACATAAAGGTGCGTAAGAAAAAAATAATATAAGACTCTGGTGAGGTAATAAACCAAGTAGAAAAGAAATATAGCACCTAAAACAAATCAAAAGATCCGAAATTTTGGAATATGGGTCCAATCCGTTTAGCTAAGAAAAGCAATTGCTGCAAAAGCCCCTCATACTTTAGAGAGAAAGTCATAAATATAAATATATTTAGGCTTGTAGATCCTCCTCGTCCTGACCATGCATGATCATCTTGGTGAAATCGCGGTAGTCAAAGTTGCCATCCTTAATTGGAGCGCCATGAAATAGTTCATCCACCTTGTCGTGAGTCCAGCGATCACCCATAGTAGTCATCAGCTCTCGTAGACGATCTTCGTGAATCGAGCCTAAATGAATTATTAAAGAAAAAATTAAAAATTACTATAAGCGAATAAATATGATAAATATAAGAGTATACGAAGGAAAGACCATTTATCCTATTCATATTTTGTTACAATTTCATTTATGGTTTACAGGACAACAAATTGAATGCATATACTTTAGTGCTATTCCTTAAATTCGAGATCAATTATTTTTTCAAGCATTACCAAAACATATAGTAAAATATGTCATTGTTTGATATGCTGATTTCATCAATGATTTGCAATGCTAATCACAGGTTGCAAAAAGTTATAAACGAAAAAGCTGGTCTATTGGATTCAGAGGTTTTTCTAGCCCCTGATGCTCATTGTCCTGAGAGCCCAAAGGAGCAAAAGATTACATGCTGTTCTCAGCTTTTGATGGCGAGTTTTGTGGAACCAGATAAGTGACTCCATTCAAATCACATTCAAACCATTATCGCGAAGTCAGGTGTTATTTATTGTTAACAATGAAAAAAAGGCCAAACCAAGTTTTAGCTTCCAGCAATGATGTTTAGCACAATGTCAAATACTTTAAAGCAAACTTAAAAGAATATTTAGGTTAGGAATAGTGATGATATTATCTAGAATATCAAAATTATTCGCACCATAGCTATTTTAAGTAAAAAAATGAGGAATTTTAAAGTAGCCATTAAGATTGACTTCTATTTGATTATAATTACGATCATACAGATATTACAACAGTAAGTCTTTTAATTTAATATTGTCATGCTAGTACAAAGTCATTCTTATGTGAATCTCAAAAATGATGCATATTCAGAAGGGATGTTATCTTATTTAATATGACTATTATTTTCTATTAGAAAAGGATTATCATGATTATGTAGACTCTTAGAATATCAAAAAACCGATCAGATTTGGTTCTTGGATACATAAATGCAGTTCATTAATTACCTAGACATGAATTGGCCCCTAAAATTGCCGCCTAGAGAATATCATAAATCTAACAATTTATTTTAGTTTGAAGCGTTTTTTTAAAGAACAAAAAATGTATTAAATTGTGGAAAAGTAAAATGCAGTCTTAAAAAGAAATCTAAGGTACAATGATTCAATTTAAATAGAATCTTCCCTCCGAATCTAAGATTGACTTACCCTAAGCAATTGGCGAATAAGAAACATTCGAAAATCAAGAGACGTTTCCGGTGGGTGTAGTCTACTCAAACAAACAACTATCAATTTGGGGGCCACAGGACTAGAGAAACGGATAATCATAACCGTCACAGAAATTAGGCATTATGTACAAATTAACTAAAAATCCACTCGAAAGCACCAGGGGACCAGAGATAGACGTTCACAGTATGCTCAGAGTATACGTGTAAAATTATCTGCAGATATGAAAATCATAGCCTAGACGCTCTGCTCATTGAGGCGACCGTGTACGTGCTAGTAATGGATAGAGAAAGAGCACCTGAATTAAAACGCATACTTGGACTGGAACTGAGTGAAATCAGTTAATTACAAATACCTATGAATATACGGGCCCATGAGGGAGATTCGGATAGGAGACCCAAGTCGGAACAGGAAATCAGGAGGGAAGAGGAGAAAGGTAAACAGCAGATGTGATGAAACCATACTAAACTTGCCAAAATGGGCACACCTCTAGAGGAGTGGAACATAAAGTCAGAAGTTGCGATAGAACGTAAGAGAGATTATAGGGATGGGAGTAGATAGAGTCCAGGACAGAAAGAGGACTGATAGCACGACCGTTCGGCAGAAAGTTGATCAAGGGACTGACATCACTTCTACCTTTGACGAGTTGTAGCTTGGTACTGAAAATAGCAATGTATGTACGCAGTACCGGTCATAACTCAGATAAATCAGAAAAAACCTAACATCAGCCTCGGACCCAAGAAAAATCATGGCCAAAACAGCATTAGTGCGAAACTAGTTAAATTGACGAGATTAAGCTCTGTACGTGTGAAGGTCAGGTTACGAAACCACTAGTCAAAACCCGTCAGTCTGGAGCCATTATGGATTTATGATCCAACGAAAAGCATGAATGAGAAGGCATAATCGCCTGCGTGTTTTGATTGATGAGTTCTACATGCCTATTTGTACGGTGACTCAACACCCACTATCCTTCAAGCTTTCAATCAGGCATAAGTAATTCTTCGAAGGTATGAAGACCAAGATGGTGTGGCCTTTTGTGTGATCGCAGTCTCCTTTCGTTGTAGATAAGTTGTTTGACCTTGTTTTCGCAACTCGGTCATATTGATAGGAAGACTTAGAGGAATGCACCTTGTCCGGAGTCCATTGTATGCATCATTATTTCCAGAGTAGGACCGTGGATGTGGTACATTCCCAGACGTTTCGCCGGCATCGTAAGTAAGTCTCGCCACAAACTTTGTGGTTCAACATTGACCTAATCAAAGCCAGCAGTACCAGGTTAATTATGACTCGAATAGCACAGATGGGTGGGAGCATGGGTCGAGTGAAATACATGTACCAGGGAGATAGCAGACGGATTCGACAGAGCAAGAGGGAGACTTTGATAGGACCCAGGGAA